CACCAGCGCCCGGCTATGAGACTCTTATCTCTAATAAATCACCAAAAAAGCTAGGAGTAGAGCTGTGGTTCAGAGTGGTAGAGTGCTAGTCCTGAGCACAAAAAGCTCAGAAACAGCACCCAGACCCTGAGTTCAAGCCCCAGGACTGGTACCAAACAAGAGAAGAGGCCAAGTTCTGAGTCCTCCCTCTGCTACCAAATGTGACCTTGAGCCAGGAAAAACTCTGAGCCATGGACTAGACAGATCCTCTGTGTGGTGCCCCACCCCGCCCCCATATCACTGTAATTCTCTGGCCTTTGTCTCTCGGTAGGTGTTGTCTGGACACTCTGTTCAGACTCCTCCAGAGGAGGGCCGGGTCCCTGAAGGGGTCTGGGGGCCCTGGGACCAGTGGGCCTCTTGCTCCCAGCCCTGTGGGTTAGGGGTACAACGCAGAAGCCGGACATGTCAACTTCGCCCAGGCCTGCCTTTACCTCCCCGACCCCCAAGACATCCAGAAGCCCTCCGCCCACGGGGTCAGCGTCCTGGAGCCCAGGCTTCCAGAGAAAGCCACCCCCTTTATAGGCCGCAGCCCCGGGGAAGGGGTGGCCCACTTCGAGGTCCTGCTTCCCAGCCAGGGAGAGAGGAGACCCCAGAGATGCAAGGAAGCCGGAGGTGAGGCTGGGAGGGGAGGGTGATGATCTTTGGTGCCCGGAAGTTGACTGGAGAGATAGGGTCAGAGGTGGCCAGAACTGTGACCCCTTCCCCATGTCTGCCACACCTTCTCAGGTCCCGAGTTCGAGATCCCATCAAGCCAGGAATGTTTGGTTATGGGAAAGTGCCCTTCGCCTTACCTCTGCATCGAAGCCGCAGGCACCCTCAGAGGCCCCCCCGGCTTGCGCCCCCCGAGTCCTCCTCCAGAGGCCCAGGGACCCTTCCATCCCGGACTCCAGGAGAACACCTGTCCTCTACAAGCCCCCACCCCCACACCCAGCTCCCTCCTACATACCCCCCAGCAGAGCCCCCACAGCCTGAAATGATTGTGACCCAGGTGGCGCCCAGGCCCAGCCCTGTCCCCACACAGCCCCAGCCCAAAGCCCAGGCCTTTAGCACGGGCCTGCCCTTGCCTAACTCTTCCTCTGGAGAAAGTAGCTCCCTTCAGCCAAGAGTGCCAAGTTCCCGGGGCAGGGCCAGTCCCCAGGCAGTAAGGACACGCACTGACCCTTTTCGCTCTGTCCCTCGGAGCCAAGGCCAGCAGGGCCAAGGGCCCTGGAGACCAAGTGGTCATCCTCGTGGGTCTGTGGTGGAGCCTGCCCCTCGCCACCCACATGGGTGGTTGCCTCTGCTGAGTTCTGGCCCCGACTCCAGCTCCCTCTGGAGCCTCTTTGCTCCCAGTAGCCCTGTCCCAAGATGCTCTGGGGAGAGCGAGCAGCTGAGAGCCTGCAGCCAAGCGGTGAGTTCTTCCCTGGGCCTCCTCGCCCAAGCCCACACTTCAGCCCTGCTCCCTGCCCCAGCTGCATTTGTATCTGACCAGGACCTGAGGGAGCAGTGTCCTGGCATCAGAGGATCTCAGAGCTCTTCTATGGAGCTAGCTCTCCCCTTACCCTAGTCCTGGCCTATACTCTAACTTTCCTCCCTCGCTCTGACTCCTCTGTTGTCTATCCCTTCTTCAGCTCTGCCCCCCTGACCAGCCAGACCCCCGGGCTCTACAGTGTGCAGCCTTTGACTCCCAGGAATTCATGGGCCAGCTGTACCAATGGGAGCCCTTCACTGAAGGTGAGGTTTCTAGCCCCTCGCTCTTCCCTGCAGGGGTGGCTCGGGATGGGGCACCATGGAGAAGCAAGGGAGACACTTGCTCATTCTCAGTCCTGGAAGTTTCCAGTTCTTTCCCATTACACCCCTTCTCTTTCTCTCTCTTTTTTCCCTTCCTTCCTTCTTTCCTTCCTCCCCCCCCC